TGTGTGCCAAAGGCAAGTAGGAAACAGGTGAAAGTTCCAGTCAATGAAGCAGATGCTCCATGGGCTTAGTAATTGAACAAATAGAAAGATAATTTTGTGTCTTGACTAAATAGAATTTCTGTGTTCTAAAGCTGACATGCATTTTAAAATGAGAACCCAGAGACATTTAGACCAGAGCTTATTAAATATTTTTGGATCCCAATTCCTTCTTTGCATTTTGGTAAAGACCTCTGTCTGTTTCGAATATACAAGCTGTGCTCATAAAGTAACTGAGTAAATTAAAAGACCAAACAATAAAATTTAAAAAAATGAAAGAATAAATGTATGTTTAGGAAGAGTCACACCTGAACTGGTTATTTTGTCATTTATTTATCAAAACGGAGTTATTTTCATTTACTGAGAAGACACTATACAAAAGAAGTTGCTTTGAGATCGAATAGTGTGATAACATTAAATTTTGTTACAATTAGGTATATATGTTTCCCAAACATCAGAGATGATTTGAACAGTATATGCCGATGCATTATTATGAACAACACAAGTGTATGAGTGGTACTACCACTTTAAATATGGGCATGAAATCGTTGCAGATGAACCAAAGATTGGGCACCCATCAACTTCAAATGTTATGCATGGCCTATTTTCAAATTTTGCTTACATATGCTGTTCAAGAAGAAAGGAAAGAAAATTCAAGATAACTTAATATTTAAAGTTTTATTTGAACAATATATTACATAAAGATGACTAAAAAATTGAAATTTTTTAGATATAAATTTAGCAAATCGATAAAAATAATTTGTCTTCCACTTAATGTCAAGTCCATTACCTTGAGATTATTTTACCCACATTAGTTTGTAAGTCTGCTTAAAAGGGGCAGTACATCTTCAGTGCCTTAGATAAACCAACCGAGCTAAGCCTGACTACTTTGAATATGTACTTGACATGAAGTAGCAGACAAATTATTTTTATTGATTTGCTAAAGAAAAAAACTTTTGTAATTAATTTTTATCATGAATGTAACACACTAATAGTTCATATTTAAAATAATTAAATTTCTTTATTTGAAAAAATAAATTAGGTTACAAATAAAGAGTTTGAATAACATGAAACTTGAAAAGAACAGGCATTTTTGCCTATGATCACATTTTTAAAGATTTATATCTAATTTATTTAGTTCCAATGTCTATAAACAGCATTTTAGTAAGGTAAACAGTGCTTCAGTGACCTGAAGAGACATTAAAGAAATTATATAGACTCCTCTGGTGATTATTTTGAAGGAGATAAATTTTATTTAAAGGTTAGTAATCTTTTCCATATTTATATAAGAAATTGTACAGTTACTTTATGGGTTATCCTTGTATGTATTCATACAAACAGATTTATTTAATTAATATAGCATTTTATTAATTGTATGTTATGTTTTGACCTACATTTTTCTTTGGTTCAAAAATTAGCAGTACAAATAATAATAGAGCATTTTAAAAAACACACATTTATGCAGTTATATAATAATAATCAAACATGTTATGCTGCACTTAGGCATCGCAATTATCAAGCCGAAAGCATTCACAGTTATGCTTGCTGATTAATGCATAGATATACATGAATTCTAAAATGATTCTGTGAAACTACAATTAATTAACAGGTACCACATAAGAAATCTTCTGAAGTTTTTGACAAATATACTATGTTCTCTTCAAAGCAAGTTTAATTAGAACAGTAATAAAATGCATGCAGATTTTTTTTTAAATTCTTATTCTGTAAAATTTTCTGCTACACTCTTCCCCCCACCCCCCTTTTTTTTGGATGCATGTTGATATTCCTTTATACTATATGGCACCGAACAAAGTTACGATACCACTGAATTTGAACATAATTTACCTATACAGTTTAACAATTTGTCTACACATTTCAGAGCTCCATTGTGGCTATTCCTATTTTGTTTTCCTTTTTGCATTTATACTCGAGACTACTTTCTTCTGAATCACTGCATCACCAATCTTGGTCTGATAGAGCTCTATGTAATTATGCTTTTTTTTCCCCCTCTTCCCACACTTCTGTTTTTCTTTGCTCCCTTTTTTTTTAAACTTAAAGTAATTTCAGTGAAGCCCGATGTCTTCTTCATCGAAAGAAATCCAGTTGCAATTTCAGGTTTGTCTTTATAGCCACGAATGATAAAGTTTTTACTTAATTTCAGACTCTAGCAATCAGATTTAGTGCATCAAATATGTGGGTTAAAGTCATAAATTCCTAGCCTTTGGTAATAATCTGAGAGCTTTTTGATTATCGATAAACAAACAACTTTGGTTATTCTGCAAACGGATAATCGATAATCTGATGTAACGTTCTATGGGAAAAGAATGCAAAAAATTCTGCTGTTTTTATGTAATACATTAATGTTGTTTGATTAACTATTTGCTGGTGGTTTTATGTCCAGATTAATTATCTCTACTCATTATACTATTATTTTGAAATATTGCCAGTACTGCTCATTTCCTAGGCCTCTTGCTACCTTCTTGATGCTTAATATCTGCCGGATAATTCAAACATGGCCAAAGGAGAAATATTGTCATTTTCAAAAGCTCTGTTCTTTCTAAAGCACAGTTATTTTTAAATAACCAAATTTTCTAATGTTAACAATTATTATGATGTAATAATGTATTAATAATTTTTAAGTCAAATAAAATTTTGGGTGAGGGGGGTTAATTTCAGCCATGTGATATTTTAACACTGCTTTTGAACAAAAAAATAGTATTGTTTATTTAAGTGGTAATAAACAACATTTGGTTATTGTTCATTATTTTAATCCATTGCATACAAACTGAAAATTCTATATTTTTTTAAATATCAATGGTTTTTTTTTTTTTTTACATTCCTCAAATGTTTTTGTATGTAAATAAAGGAAATTCTACTTGATTGATGAAAAAGTCATTTTATTCAATCAAAAAAGTAAAATATCAAATTTTATCTCTGAAACTGAAAAATGTTTAGAATCTGAGGGAAACCTGAACATGATTTTCTAAAATTAGTTTATTTTTTATTACATAAATTTCAAGGAGTGTACTTTCTGAATTGTGTTGCATGCTTTAATTTTTCTAAATACTTTTTTATATCATAAATTTTCCAGAAATATGTTTTAATCTGTCAAAATAACTTTAAAAAATTGATCTTCAGTCTCTATACACAAAAACTATAAAAAAACTATCATTTTTATTCAATGCATATAAAGATTAAAACTTCATGTAAAACATAAAATGTGCATGTAAATATGAAGGTATAAAAAAGTAAGTAAAAGAAACACCTGTTTATTTTTAATTAACAAATTGTAAAACAGTGTTTAGGCCAGAATGGAAAGCTCATCGTTTATGTCTATAGGAGACCAGTGTTTTACAATTAGTAGGTAATATAAAACACTGGTTATACATCTAAACTGATAATTGGTCACTTCCAGACAACATCCCTACAAGATGAATTCACTACGTGATAAGAAAGAACAAGGAATATTTCAAAATTCTTTAATTAAAAAATTAAATACACTACTCTCCAAAAGTTCAGAAACAGTATGTTTTTGTGTCTAATTTGAGAATGAAGCAACATAGAAACAAGAAATTTACAGGACATGTCCACTAAACTGTTACAAATTTACAAGATATGTCCACTAAACTTTAATGAATGCAACATAGAATGTTTCTAAAGTTCAACACAAACATGAATTACAACAAAAAATTATACTCTTGCAGAGAAATCCAGTCTTGTAGAAACAGTATATCACAGGTTTTTGAGAAAAAATGGGGTGGTAACATTACAAAAATAGGTTCTAATAAGGAATGCTCTAGCTCCAACATATTGGCGGCAGTGGCGTTCCATGCTGTCAATTAAGTTTTCAGTCAATGAAAGGGGAAGCAATGACCAGACATGGAGTAATCCTTGTTCAAGCTCATCCAGTGAACTTGAAGCAGCAACCTGTCTCCCAACGTAGTCCCAAAGATATGCTATCAGATTCAGGTCTGAGGACTGAGCTGGCCACTCCATACTGTGACCCTCAAGTTATTACCACAATATTTTTTATAATGATATTTTAAAATTGTTATGTTTTTTAACTGCTTTCTTTTCTCCCTTGATGGAGTTGTACACTGATGTTTTTGCTTGTAACTTAGTTACAGATTGTTTCAGAACATAAAATTTTGTTAATTTTCCACCAAATTGATCATAAGTGCTGCAAAAAATTAAATTTGGTCAGCTTGAAAGGTTCCAGTGAAACTGGACAGCCAGAAAGTTGTATCTAAAAATTCAAGTTCATCATTCTCATAGCAAATCCCAAGAGATTCAGAATTCTTTGCAAACCATTATTCTTTCCCTTTTTTACTAAACAAATTTCTGAAAAAAATGTCAAAGCATTTTCTATGGCTAATTAGTTTATAGCAAAATTATTCATTACTTTATTTTTAAGCTAACCATGTTGATTCTCAATAAGTGATAAGGTTGTTAATATCAAAGAAGTTTTCATATAGTTTTGACACATTTTGTAGATATTTTTAAATTAAAAATGCTTACCTTGTGAGTTATAAACAGCCTCAGTAACTTACCAACCAATCATAACTTTTTTTTTAATCTACCAATTTGCCATCTAAAGAAATTTGATCTACTAAGGGGGTGGAAAAGAAATTTGAGAATCATTTCTTTAGGGGAGAAAATGTGGATTTATTATACTTGAACGGAAAACAGTGGAAGAATTTTCAATTCAATAATCTGAGAAGGAAATTTAAATGATTCAATCATATAAATCTGATGATGTTTCAATCATCTCAGAAGAAAATTGTACTAAATTAAAACAACAAAAAAATTCTAACTTTTTTCCACAAAAAGGTTTTTTAAGAGATGATAAAATATTAGAGGAAAAATATTTTTAGTGATTATTGCATTTGTATTTTAGTTACTCTGTTAGTCAGCATATATTGCTATATTTAAAAAAATTCTTTTAAAATCTTTGATATCTGTAGGTTTGCCCAGTTTATTGAAAATGGGACTCAATACACAGATGAAGAGTTATTAGAATATAATTCTGAGGAATTTTTTGATAATGAGTTTCACCATTCATCATATTCAGATGACGATATGTAGAGTAATGTAATACTTTTTAGCAATGCTGTGCCATTCAAAATTTACAAGCCATGGCGTATATGAAATTCAATTTCGAATTTCCATCAAATGCGTTATAAAAAGTGTGTAAGTTGTAAAATTGTGGCTGCTAATTTCATTTTTGTATATGAAATGAAATTAGAAATATTTTAAGAACTGTATAAATTTTTTAAACTAGTGACAATTGTTTTTTGATTTTGCGTATAAAAAGTAAATGTGATTTTTGTTGATTGACTTTTGTATACATTTCCATGGATTCTTTGAATTAAACCATTATTTTTCAAACAACATTATTTATTTTTCACTTTATGTTTTATTTTCTTTACGAATAATGACAACATCATTACTAGCCTTCAATGGCTATATACAATTGTTTAAGAAAATGTAGGATTATTAAAATAATAATTATTTTTTGATCTCGAGTGATTTTTGTATGCAGCTTTTCATGATATGCTTTGAAGTAAAATATTATTTATTTTTAAAGACTCACAGTTAATTTCTTTTTGGTACTGACATATTATCACAACCATCTTAGCAGAAATCTCTAGTCCTTCAGAATATACCAAACTCTGGTAACCATGCTCATAATGATTATTCAGGCAACCATGTGCATGATTTTCCAATCCATCAGTTTCCAATGCTGCCATTTTCATATGCATTCTTTCTGTTGTATTCCAAATTCCAATGCCTTTTATGGGAAAATAATGATTATTTTTTGTCTTAACCCTTTCCGTCAACTACCTTTTGGGTTTTGAAATTAAAACAAGTTGGAGTTTTGAATTAAAAAAAAAAAAAAAAAAAAAAAAAAAAAAAAAAAAAAAAAAAAAAAAAAAAAAAAAAAAAAAAAAAAAAAAAAGCTAGGCAGTCTAATTAGGCCCAGAGGAGTACACAAGTAAAATTTTGTGAAGATAGCACTTATCGTTTTAATTCTGTGGGTGTGCCCAAAGTGGGCACATGATTGAATAGAGCTTCGAAAAGAGTGCTGAAATGAGCATTGTTGTCAACGAACTGACCAATGAATGCGAGAAGAAAAAAAGAATACAGAGACTCTCAGTTGTCCTAGATTATCAGTGAGCTCGGTCTGGGCACACCTAGGGTTCGCTGTTTGATTTTAGGCAAGATTTCAAGGTAAAAATTTAAAACTAATATAGAATAAGGACATTAGCATACAGCCAAAAAAATAACATAGAAATTTCTTTTCGAACAAGATTTCATTGAAAAATGAGGGTCTTAAAAAACTAAACATGGCTAAAATATATGGACTGGTTGGTGTCAAGCTGCCATCTACTATAAATAAAGAAGGTTCAGAGTAACCTATGAATCCTTTTTCATTCAATTTTTCTGTGCATGCAGAAGGTAATTTTTAGGTGTGTCCAGACCGGACACACTGTGCTGCAAAGGGTTAAACTCGATTTCAAAATTTGTGCTAATAGGTTTTTCCTATAATAGAAGAAAGACAGGTGAAATTTCTGCAGGAATACACTGTTTTGCTGCAAAATCGCTAAAATAACATTGCTTCAAATTCTCTCTCAAAGCAGCGATGCAAAATTTCAATCACAACAAAAAACCATGTGTAACTAGATTTGCTGATTGTCTTTTGGAATAAATATATACTGGATAATAAAATATTTATATATGTAGTATATAATTTTTTACAATAAAAGTAAGTGTTCCTTTTCTTTTGTAAAATTTGCCAATGTGATTGCAATAATCTGTAAATTCTTTTCTTTTATTCATTTATAATAACAATCACTGCTAGCTATATATGGTTTTTTTTTATTTATTTATTACTTGCTCCGCCCTTAGGCACTACACGGAAAGGGAGGGATGCCCCGTGTAGGTCTTTTTAAGGGAAACTGGCTCATATCCACGTTACACATGGGGAAAACCACGAAAGCACCCATGCAGCCAGCCCGTTCGCCGGGACTCGAACCTCGAAACGAACTACCAGTGTTCAGCGGCTTTTACCACTCGGCCGCTGGTGGGCACTATATATGGTTTGGGAGCAAAAATATAGATTATTAAAAATTCCTTTCCCTCAGTTACAGGCATTGTATTTAAGACATATAACTGCAGATTAATACTGAACTTTAGAAGTTTTAGCTTATTTTTCTGTAATTTAAATGTAATTCTTATTTTCAAGTTTATAGTTTCAAGACATTTGTTACTTATAAATCTATTAGATTGTAGTATTAATAGACAGATGATTTAACAATCCCAGAGTTTGATTGTCATTTATTAATTTTGATCTAATATGTGAATTAAAATATATGTGCACACTTTTAAAAATTCAATTTATTATTTGTAGATTTTTTCCCTTTGTGAACATTTAATTTAAATTTGCAAAATAAATCAATATTTCGGATGTTGTCATAGTGATTCCACATTTCTCTTGAACTGAAACTACACTACGTTTGTTTGCATACAGTTTTTAAATGGAATTTCGGGAAATTAGTGTATTTCAAAGTTTTGTTTATCTTAATGGAAAAAGTACAAGTATTTTATTTTGCTGTAGAAATCTCATGATAACATATCGAGCGTGATGTCATATTCAGCAATAGGCCTCACTTGCGCCATACAGACAGGGCTGTGCATAGGTGCTTCCAACAATGGTTGCTGCTTTAGGTACTTGTCAGTGGAATTGAGGCAAAGGTGCACAAATGTGAGGCAAGATCAGATGATTGTGCATCAGACTCGAACGGCATCATTGTCCATTATCTAACATGTTACAGCTTCACCACTCATGGCACATTCCACCATCCTGTGGTACTCAACTGAGGATGGGTTGTGCTCTTAGCGGCCTTTAAGACGTCTGCCTTTAACCCACAACATCGACAAAGGCATCTGGAGCACGTCGTAGTAGATCTTCATGGCTGCCATCTGACTAGCATCGCTTAGTGTTGAGCGGTGAATTTCGCTTTTCTTGGAGCTGATGACCGTCCATGTGTGGAGGTGTTAAGGGCAGTGGTCCCATTCAGCCTTTGTTTTATGGAGGCACCCAGCCATTAACCCTGATGTGATGATGTGGGATGCTGTCACTTAATACAGGCAGATCGGCCCTAGTCATCCTACATACAACTTTAACAGCTCAATGATATATTGATGACATCCTGCGACCATTTGTGTTACCCTTCATGGCACAACATCCTGAAAACATTTTCCAACAGAATAATGCTAGACCCCATATGGCTCACATATCTCTGAACTCTGTTCGAGCTGCTGATATTCATCCTTGCCTAGCAAGGTCACGAGACCTTTCGCCAGTTGAGCATGTATTGGATATGGTAGGCAGCCAGATTCGGGCACCCATAAATATCGCAGATCTGGAGCAACAACAGAGGAATGCCTGTATTGCAGAACAAAACCAGGAATCTTTACCACTCCTAATCTCAATGCTTACAAGCATACATCACCACCAAGGGAGTTCATGAGTCATTGATTTGTACATTCAGTGTGCTATTGCTAACCCCATTTGGCCCTTGAATTTTTAATCATTTCAATACCTATGTACGAACTTTAACGCACATTTAATTTCAATAAAACCAGTCACTTTGTTCATAATTTTTTACACGGTATTTACGAAATAGTAAAAGTACAAATATCTGACAATATTATATTCCACAGAAGTAAAAATATATAAGCAAGAAGTAAGCATCATAATAAAGTATATTTTGAAGACTACATCTAAAATTTTTCAATTGAATTTCAGCCATTATATTCTTTTAATGCATGGAAATTCTTCGTTATTTTACTGTCTAGGAATCTCTTCAAGATCATGAGTTCAGCTTTTGAAAACTGTAAAGCTTTTGTGTAAAAAGAAACTAGTAACTGGATTGAAAAATCCAGAATTTTAAAGGGAATAAGATTATTTTTCCACATATACCATGCTACTGCTAAAACACAGGGAATGATAATTCTTTGTAAAGAATTAGTACGGTATTTATCATCGAATGCTCTTCTTCCTTGCAAAGCAGCTCTCATTCTTTTATCTGCAGTCAATATAGCTTCTCGAGCACCTTTCCATTTGTGAGGACCAACCAAACGAAATCTGTAAGGCAAAAACACTCCAAAAACACAAGCCATGTAGAGTTTAGGATCTGTAAAAAGCAGTTTAAATAGATTTGGTTTTGCTCCAATTTTAGAAGCGAGGTCTTCGAGGTATGGAAGAATATCAATATGGACAGAGACCCTACTATTCTTCCCATAACGCTTCAGGTTATCCTTGTATTTGCCTGTAAATGTCATTTAGCATTTCTTTTTGCGAAGGCAGCTTACTCTTACCACTCATTACATGAGCGAACCATCTGCATTGCATCTCAACGCAAGGAAAACCTGGGCCCATTGGAACAATGAAACCAATGATTCCCAGTGTAGGATGCTTTAAATGAGGTGGATACACACATTTGTAAAGATGCACTATTTTGTCTTGTATGATCAAGTCTTCAGAATCCAGGAATGGAAACTCCCAGAGGTAACCAGTTGCAAGAACAACTATATCCACACTTGTCACTGTATTACCTTCCTCACAGAACACAATCCCATCTTCTGTAAAATAATTAATAGCTTTCTTCAGAAGGATGGCACCACTCATTAGCCTACTAGGTAAAGCATCGCTCAGCGCGAAATCTCTATCCAGTGGACCATGCTTAGGAAGAATGTTGTACAAATCATGCGAAAACCTAGGATCAATGAAAACTTCCTGAATAACTTTATTGCAGATGCTTCGAGGAAAATAATTCTGAAGTATAGCGAAACTCCATTTCAGTATAGACCAGTCCAAAGGATAGCCATAAGGACCGTGACGTGTCATAATCCAAGTAGGCGTTCGAACACTCATATAAACCTAGAAAAAAGAGAAAAAAATACGATTTGTGAACAAAAACTTACGAGTTTAAACTTCTGACAGACATCAAAAGAGTAAGTAATAAAAATACAATTATGAAATTTAAATCATGAAATGCATTTAACAGAACAAGATTATTTTTTAAATAGTAAATATTTTAAGAAGAATAAAAGCATTAGTTTTGAAATCGAGACAATTGGACAAACTCGCATTTTTGTGTTGCTTTATTTCATATTAATATTTTTTTTCATTTTCAGAATTTTATATTGATGTTAATTTCCGAAAGTGGCTTGTAACAGCTTCTCAATAAAAATTACTATTAGTTTTATACATTAATTTCAGGGAAAATGAGCACTACGTCCTCTTTGGTTCTAAAGCGTAGAAATGCAATTTCAGAATTTTGTAAAACTGTGGTAATTTTTAATTAATGTTAAGAGAAGCTACTCATAAAGTATTAATCAAGATTTTTTTTCTTTCCTTCAAAAATTTCCTTCATGATTATCAACGACATTTTTTCCATTTCCTGGCAAAAAGAACAGCCATATTAATTTGAGGCGAGATATATTTCGTAATTTGAAATGTAGTCTCATCTGTTTTGTCTGAGGTAATCTTGCATCTGTAGTTTGCGCAAATTATAGCGAAGTCAAAGGGATAATATTGTTCGCACATTTTTTAGACGATTTTGCTTTGCTATAAAAAAATCGTCTGCATAGAATTATTTTTAATTGCAACTATATTTTTGAAAGTATAAAGTATCGTCTACTACTTGATAGTTTTTATTTCATGCAAAATGGCGCTTTTAAAGAAGCAGTGGATTGAAGACTGCGTTTGTGCTCTTTCCAAAGAAAATTATTCGTATCCAGTTATTAAAAAACGCTGTGAAAGCCATGTTTTTTGGATATCTAAAGCTACGATAGGTAATACTATAAAAAAGAAAGGAAAAACATCTTCAAAGTTTGGCTTGCAGTAGAAAATTTGTTCCAAATACATATACAAGCAAAAAAGGAAATGTTTCGAAGGTTACAGAGATGCGATATTTAATGTTAAAGTCGAAGGACAGTTGCAAAATTTTTTAAATATTCAGTATCAACTGTAAACGAAGTGGTTAATGCTGATTTGAATCTTGAAAAGGCGAAAAAAATGTACGTCGTCTTTCTCCACGACATATCGCTGAACGCAGAACGCGGTGCAGAATTCTCTATGATAAACATTTGTCTGGACAAAAATGGAAAAATGATGTCACAATAGATGAATTTTAGGGTTATTTAAATGACCACATTAAAAAGATATCCATTTATCATCATCAAAATGGAAAAAAAATTCTTAAAACATGGTTTTTCAAAAGAATTTATGATTATTGCAGGTTTTTCATATAACGGCAAATTTAAAATATAGAGAGTGAAGAAAAATGTTAAGATCAACTCCACTTATTATCACACATTTTATACCCAATTTTCAAGAATGAAATACACAGTGCCGTCAATCAGCAGAACTGCATGAAGACAAAGCAAACAGCCGTGCGTTAATATCCACTGTTAATTTCCTGTCAAAAATGAAGCAATCCTTCACTCGTATCCCAACTAAATCTCGTGAACACATGGAGTTTTGCGCTTTTGGACTTTTAAAAGCGGATTGTCTAAACATTGACCTATAACCCTCCTTTGGGGGGGGGCTTTAGATAGGCTATTCAAGAGGAATGGGATGAAATACCTCTTCCTATGCTTTAAAAAGGCTTTATTGTCTTGGAAATTACGGTATACAAAGGTAGTTAAGAATATGGGCTATCAAGTAGTACATTTAAAACATAAAAATTTTAGGTAAAATATTTCTTGTTTTTTAGACTAAGAGAAATCTTTAATTAAAACCAAAAATTCTAAAATAAAGGAGAATCTTATTGTGAAAGAAACTGAATACACAAAGAAAGAAAATTATTTTTCAAAGATATATATGTATCTTCTACTTTCCGTTTCCTCGTCAGAATACAAATCAGTTAGACAGTATTTAAATTAAGGTTTTTAGTTTGTAAGTGAAAGCGTGTTTTGTGTTTCGCTTGTACGCTGCATTATTTCCTGCCAGCTCTGATAATTTGTAATTATTCGTTTTTGTGTTATCGCTGATGACATTTGAATTTGTTATTACAGTAGAATTACTGACCTAGCTTAGATTAAAATTAAATTGAATTGTTTTTGACTACTAGCCCACATTTTAAAATTGAATTTGACTCTTCCTGTTTAGTTACATTATATACCACGAGCTGTATATGATTTTATTAGCATAAGAGCATGAATTTAAATAAAAATTTTTGTAGCTCCTTTCAGAAGGGCGATAATTTACTTCACGTCCGTTAGGGGTTTTGGACTATTACCAGATCAAGTAAAACCTGAAAAAAAAAAAAAAAAAAAAAAAAATCTGAAATGTTTCAGATTTTAAATTACGTCCAAAGGGGCGTTTTTTGACATTTTGTGTGTTACCTTTCTTTATTAAATATTATGTTCCTCGCACTTAAACCATAAGATCCAGTGCAACAGCAATATCGCAAAATAGTTTTAAAACGAGCATATCTTTAGAATTTCCGATACAGAGACTCACGCGCTGGAGATAAAAATGTTTTTTCTGCACAACGTTGCCATTGCTCGCTTTGAAATCCTTGAGTTTGTTCAAAAATTCGTCAAAGTTTTAAAAAATAGGAAATCGATCATAAAACAAATTTCAAATTTCAAATTTGGTCTTCCACATGCTCATATTCGTTGGAGGATTACGTTATTCAAAATTCGATGACTCTATGTACCGTTGTTTTATCACAATACGAGAAATATACATACATTTATGCAGATTTTTCATTATTTAATTTCTTCAAATATAATGCAGGACTCTAACATTTTGTGGCAACAGTTTGAAAAGTGAACCGACATTTATGAGTCCGACGCAAAATGCCAAAACGAAACTAATAGTCCTTCGGGATTCAAATCCCTTTGGACTAAAAAAAAAAAAAAAAAAAAAAAAAAAAACCGCATAAGTCTATAAAACATAATGTTTTATAGCTTTTAATATGTAATTATCCTAGTATCGTTTAAGAATCAATGTCATAAATTACATGTATTTTAAACTGAAATGTTCATAGATTGTGATTTTAATAATGCTTTTAAACAAATATTTTTTTAATAAATAAAATTTAATTTTGGCCGTGTAAATCTATGTAAGAGTACCTAACTACCTAACTTAATTACTTGTAACTACTTGCTCACCCTTAAAAGTTCTTCTCTGTTAAAGTAACTTATTGCCTTAACTTATCCTTAACTGTGGTCACAAGCTACAACACAAAAGCGTAAAAAAGTAATGTAAAACTTATTATTTGCAGCTAGCAAGCCATTAGCGATGGCCACGAAAGGTTGTCTGAGCGGCTGCCACGAAACATACTCTGGGGACTTCTACCGTGACCTTCAAGAAACTCTCGAGAAATGAACTGTTTTCGAAGGCCACGCTTCTACCGCCCACTGACAGCGGTCACGAAACATTCTCTGCGTACGACCTCCGCCTAAAATGGGCATGCATGAAAAGTTATGTGGGTATGATTACTCTCTACAATACGCGTTACTTTACTATTGTATGTGTAAAATTACCGGCTGTTCTAACCATTCCATTATATAATTAGTAACAGAGTGCCTTAATTATAGATATTTTATAATGTACAGATAAGCTACGAGAAACAAATTGGTATGTTTGCTTATACCGTAAGTTTTTTTAATGTTTTACTTACGATTTGAATTTAGTTTCCTTCAGAATGAGTGCGAAACTTTTGAAAGAAGAACAATGGCTAAAGAAAATAACTGATTCTGATGAAGAAACTGAGTGTAATTTAGCATTTCGCAAAAGAAGGAACTTGGCACCTCAGAATCTGAGGTAACAGATGAACCTGAAGTATGATAGTCCTTCTGGTGCCAAATATGGACTTCTAAGAAGTTTAGCCCGAAAATTCATTATTTTACTCCACAACATCCGGGACCAGTAAGAAACAATTTAAATCGCTCGTCGAAAATTTTAGATTACTTCCGACTGCTTTTTTCTGAATATTTAATTCAATTCACGGCAGAAAAAATAATCAACTTCTGGTGTCGACAACTTAAAAGGGATCACTTGGAGGTTTCAGAAGGGAAGAAATTGAATGAATTATATTGTTTCATTGCTGCGTCAATAGTAATGATGCGAGACAAAAGGTTATCCTTAAAGGAAGATAAGCTTCTCCAAAGCGATATTTTCTGTGAAATTATGAGATCGCTGTTTTTCATTACTGGAAACGTTGCATGTCTAAAATAAATGAATATGGTTACGAAATGTCCATGCGCTGTAAGATAGCTTCCCCGCAAAGCAGATTTAGGGTTGCCAGAAAATGGCAAGGGAAGGCAGGGTTGCCACACTTTGCGACAAAATTGGCGATATGCCATAGAAGGACGGAGAAGCTTCTGGAACGAATTCTTACTGGTTTAGTCCAGAATGTTCTCGAGCACAAGCCAAAAGCTATGTAAACCCTGCTGGTACGCGGAGAGTTGGTCCGTGTGGAGTCCATCGAGTTGAAGTCGGTCAGCAAGCGAGTGTCTCGTAGTCCAGTGAGTGCCGATTTGGTCGTCGACTGCACCGAAAGAGTCTGTTAGTGTGTCGTGGTTAGTGCATCGTCGAGAGAGTGTGTTGAGCTCCGGAAACGACTGAACCGGAGTCGGGAGTTGTACTCGAGTGCGTCGCCAGTTGTAATGTGGAGAGGCTCGAGAGTTCCGAGAACGACCAAGCAGAGTTGGAAGCTGTACTCTGGTGCTTTGCAGTGAAGCTGTCTTCACCGTTATATCCTGATTGCCTGAAGGTTGTGTCGCTGATTATTACAGCGTGTTTATAGTAGTTCTTCGACCACTGTAAAAACGTGATTTTGGAGATGCCCTGAGAACACTGCCCAATAAAGTGTGTTTTGATACTTCAAGTGGTATTGTAATTATTCACGCCAAATCTGCACG